TCAGTAAAAGCAAGGCTGCTGTTTCATTAAAGGGTAATGGAAATAGTTTGGCTTAGGAATTGAGATTAGGCTGTATAGCTAGATGTGGGGGGAAACTGATTTTTTTTCCCCATGTGATAAAGAGGAGGAGTCATGAAACAAGCATTGAGCTAGAAATAAATCATTTATTTTAAAACAATACAGGTTAATAAATAGATTAGTTATCATAAAACTTAATAAATAGCCTTTTGTAATTTACACAAGGCAAATACAACATGCCTATAACTATTTCTTAAAAAGCAAAGAGAGTAAGCTTGACTTGTAAGCCATTAACAAATCTATATATACATTATTTGGAAGCTAATAAAATAAACCATTTTTATGTAATCTGTAGTAACTATATTGCAATAGCATTGAAGCAACCAAACCTGACACTGTATGTTTGTTGCCATCCACTTTTTCCCCATATGCCATTAGAACTATTTTTCACATTCCAGGAAAAAAAAAAAAAAAACACAGTAAAAAAAAGAAAAAAGAGAAAGCTCCACAGTTGAAAAAGGATTAACTTAAAAATACCCCTTTTGTGTAATATTTTCCACTCTGTAGAGCAACTGTCTGGGGGGGCTGAGGGGGAAACCACAACAACAACAAAAAAACAATTAAAAAACCCTTATTTGAAGCTTTTAAAAAAGATTTCTTAATCCACAACATTTCAACACTGCTGTCTGAAACACTTGGGCACTAGTAATAATAACTGTTGACATCATTGGTGCCTAACATGGTACACACTAAAATTCTGCATCCCTTAAGCCCATATTCAGTAGCACCAAAGAATTATTAAAAAGACTAACCTCTGTAAAGAAAGATAACAGGTTATAGATGAACATTTTATAACATTTGGTTTAACAGCAAAACTTCAGCAGTTACACCATCTCAAGACAACTGAGAAAGATCTGTAGAGTCCTTGATTTTTAATATTTATGAAACAAGAAGATGAGAGGGGTATAACGTGTGAACAACAGCCCATTTTAAGCATTCTGTATTTAATAAACCCATATCTTTCTTCAAATACAAACCCTCTATTTTTAAATAAAAATGAAAGCTAAATCTCAGATTCTAGTATTTCAACAAATAAAATCCAGTGTTTTCATTTTCCAGTGCTAGTTACTTCAGAAAAATGCATACATTCAATACAAACCAAGATTATTAATAGGAAGCTTCGCTTGTCAAACTGTGATATGACAGGTTCTTATTAATGTTAGTTGCAGCTCACTAATAAATAGGCTCTACTTACACATATAGAGTCCTGGAAAGTCAATACAGCAGATAATTTGTTTAGATTTTTTTTTTTTTTTACATAAGTATTTAAGGTGTAACAAATTTTTTTTTTTGTTGTATCAAAAAGGTTTCTATTCTCTTACTGGACATTTGAGGGATTTTTGTGTTTGACACCTAATAAAGATCATGACTGACACATGTAACTCCTCCATACACTGAAGGGATAGTGATCAAAGAGCTACCTTCGAGTGAGTATCAAGTAAATATGTTTGACAAGTATAACACAAGCCAGACATATGGTGTGAAACACCTTTCATATGGATTTGAATTTAACTCAAATGCATCCCACCGCTGTAATGAGTCCACTTATTGTATGTGTAGCCTCTCCCACTTCTACCTTGGAATCAGAACTGAAGTCATCTGGCTTGTAGCTATTGACAGATGTAATGCAAAGAGAACGTGAAAAGGGCAGACCAGTGAGGGACACCAAAGCTCAGGAGACAACTATGCACATTTGCTCCCTGAGATGATGGAACTCAGATATCTGTCTTATTCAAAGTGCTTACTTGTCAATGGTGTGGAGAAAGAAAAAAAAAAAAAAAAAAGGAATGGCTAAAATTCAGTTTCAACAGTGCCTCCTTTTAAATCAGAAAAGTAACAGGACTAAAAAACTTAGGACACCTGGAACAAGGAGGGCATGGGATGGAGGGGTGAAGAATCGAAGAATCATACCAACCATGGCAACATACAATGCTAATACATTTCTAAAGTTGGAACTGAACCAGATGCAGGTACAGCAGAACTCAAAAGAACACTGCTGTATTACTGAACAAAGTAGCAAAACCAGGTTTCCACTATTTAGCATTCATGATGTATAAGGCTGCAGATGTAAACGATGTGCAAGGCCACAAGAATTTCTTTCACCTTATGTGCTGGCTTTTGACATCTCTGTTTTAAACAACAAGGTTAACTAGACATCTCTAGAAAGCTCACAACAGATGAGGAGCAGCTGGGGAGAACAGAACAAACCTATGCAGACATTTACCAGCTGTAAGGATGGTCAGAAGACCACAGAACGCAGCTGCTACTTTATTCCTACTCTGCATAGCGAGTGCTTATCAAGTAAACTTGTGTATTTGGTGCAGAAAATGACAAGGTTTAGACAGGGCAGTCAAGTTATTTTGAATCTAATATTTACTAATAATTTGTATACGCACTTAACGTGCTAGGATAGGCACTTTCTAAATAAATAGGAATTACTTTTGAACAAAACAAGACAAACAAATATGGCCAAAGGAGGACTAAGATGAGACCACAATCATTTCAATTTTAACCTAAAGATTTTCACAGATGTCTTCAGAGATTAAAGGCTAGTACAAAACCAACATGCAACTCATGAACTCTGAATTGGAATTTTGAAAAGACAACTTGACTTCTTCAGAAAACAGTGAATATTGTTTTGAAAAGTAGGTCACTACAGGTCTCAACCTATGTACAATTCCAGTTTCAATCAGAAAAAGGGAATTAATATGACAAAACATACCTGTTTGCTGACAACCAAGATACCATCTTCCAATCAATAATGGACAGAGGTTAATTTTAACCAGCTTTCATAGTCCAATTCCCCTCATCTACAATTCTCAAACCTTCTAGAAACCATACACAATATTTGAAAATCCATTAAGATGGCCTTTTCTCTGCTAGTGCTATTTTATTTCACCAAGGTATTCAGTTTCCATACTGGCCTATAACAACATGCGTTTCTGCCAACTCAAGAGGCATTCCCTCCCAGTCTGCAGTTATAAAACAAGCTTCCAAACAATAGAGGATCTTACTCCCTCAGAATAGTCCCTTCAAAATACTAAATCTTTAGGATTCACAGTTCATAATTATTGCTACCATTACAAGGGCTTCTAACATTCATTTTAAATTAAAATTGAGGCTGAGTTTTAAGGAGACATTAATTCAAGTCAACAAAAAACATCACAAGAGTGGACAGTATTACTCCCAATTAATCAACATCTGCATTCCTGTCAGCCAGCCACAAAGCTACATTCATGATTTCTTAATAAAGTGTCATGAACTTTTTCAAAAGCTGTCCCGGAATCATGTTGGGGTTTTTGGTTTGTTTCAAGAGCTGCTCTGAACTAGAAATGTTGAGTTCCACTGTACCCTTCCATTTTTGTACTTGAATAGAAACCAACATTCATTACTTTTCAAGCTTTCCTTAAAACTCTTTGACTCATGGTATGTTAACTACCAAATGTAAGTACAACTTGAAAATTAACTATTTCTTTATTTGACATATAATATTCTCTAAATGGTTTAAACTGTACAGTTCAGAATAACTCCAATCATAGCTTAAGCTATGTGTACTACTTGTCAAAATACTACTGCTGAACTGTTCAAACAGGTCTATAAATTACTGGAGCTAAATGTATATCCCTGTTGGTTATGTGAAACTTGTTTCTCTGAATGCCTGTGCTTTTTCAGTTTTAACCTCCTTTTCCCACGTTACAAAAGGATCAGAACATCTTTTTTGGGCTATGAGAAATCTGATGCTCTTCCTTCAGAATTTATTTTTTTGTGGTCGCTGCTTATTAGCTGCTTTGCAAAATGGTTTCCTGTATTTAGTCACTAAACTAGAATAAAGGTAGGCTGGACTGCTTTAAACAGTCCTCCTGTAGATTACCTCTCCCCATTAGGACCATGTGTTTTTCAGAAGTTGTCAAGGCATCTAAAGGTTTCAGTTCAGGTTTGTAAATTCTTCCAAAAATGTGTGGCTCCTTCTGGATGCTTTATGTGTTTAGAATTTGAATACAGTCCAATATTATAGACAATAAAATTGAATTATTAAATTGGTATAGGCCATCTGAAACAGAAACATTCACATTTATGCAGTATTTTTGGATTACAAAGGCACTGAAATAGTTCTGAGCTGCTTACAAATAAGCCACCATATAGGCAATGAGTCTGTGCATCGTTTCCACATCCTTCACAGTCTTTCTGTCTGCTCCCAATTAAAAACTCTCAGATGAATGTGGTATGTCTTAGTACATGTAAGTGACAAAGAAAAATGCATACCTGGACGCTACCATCAGCTAGTAAGTAATTAGTGAAAGATTTTTCAGGGTCCACTGCTCTGTATAAAGAATTCAATTTAAAACTCCTCAGTGTCTTCACCACATGGCAGACCAAGCTGCAAAGACAGTTACTAAAAAGGACAAATCTGCAGTCCATGGGTCAACCAACATTTGTCTCAGAATTCACAGCCCTGATGGTGAACACATTGCTATATTGAGATTAACAAATTGTTCCACTCACTTTTTCCCCCCCCATATTTTAAGGTACACATCACTCATGAAAGGTGTCAGATTGAGTGCATTAGAAACTGATGTTCTCTGCCTACAGAAACAGTACCTCAGAAGCCACAATGCAAGCTTTCGCACACAGGTCTGTCAGAACATCCCCTGATCTTTTCTGATGGATTACCTTTTACAGCAAGGAAATACATCGGTCTCTATGCTGACTCAATCAGTGGTTCCAATTAAGGTCATTTATCGTGTTGGGGTACATGGACAACTGTCCCTTTGAAACTGGATGGAGGCCTCCAATTCATTTCACGTAGGCCACCAAATCGTCAGAGGGTGACTACCAACCTGAATCATATTTGAATCAGTGACCTAGAAATGAAAGGCTCTGCATCCTTCCCTGAGCCATCCAGTTTCCCCTCAAAAGATATTTTAATCTGTCTTCATGTTAGGTTTATTTAAATCCCCGATAGTGAAGTTGAATTCCTTGAAGACTTGTATAAGAACAATTCCAATAGATACGGTGGTGAATCCACAAGCCATTCCCAAGAAATCTACCACTCCTACATTACTCCATTCTCTGAAAAGGATGGCTGAAGCCAGCAGGACTAAGGTGGTAAACACAACATAGTAGATGGCACCAAACACAGAGGAGTCGAAACATTCCAGTGCCTTATTGATGTATCTGAACTGAATGATAATGCTACATCCTAATACTGCCAGAAGTACCAGACAGAGGTACAGAGCCCTTTGACTCGAGGGGTTATTGTGAAAGATATCTTGAGCAGCCAGCCCAATACCTTTCGTGCTGGGAACAGTGAAACTGCCCAACAGAGAGCAAATACTGATATAAACCATGATATTAGTAGGTCCATGAGCTGGAGCTATCCAGAAGATAAGCAGGAGAAGCATTAGCAGCACTATGCAGAGATAACCCACGAAAACTGGAAAACAAAAAGAAAACAAGATAATAACAAGGTCAGAACTCTTGGTCTTCTAAAGATTTTAGCAGGCAAATCATGTAATACCAGTGAACTTTATGTATACACCACAATGCTATTAAACATAGATCCAAATCACTGAACTTTTAGAGATGATGTGAGCATCTGCAACTGATGAACTTATGTTCTTTGTGTAAAACAAATCATCATGTAGTAAGATACGCTGTTGCACTTCTTTTTTTTCGTTCTCTCTTCCATCAAGATTGTACTCCTTAAAGCCTCCTATGACTGTCCTTGTTTTTCATAACCAGTTCAATAAAGAATGGTGTTTGGATCCACCAAAGAACTTAAACAAAGTTAGATCCCTTTAAGGTGAGTAGGGAGAGTTGGAAGAGCTGAGAGGCTGTATCATTTACATTACAGCATCAGTACATAGATTAGACTTGTGAGAAGCATCTCATGATTTACAGTTTTAAAGAAATATATTTCCAATTCATTTTGGTCAGACTGGAATGGTAAATTTAGACCAGGGTATTTGTTTTCTTTGCTTTGTTTGCAAATGTTTTGGATAGCTGATGTTACTAGGTTTGAGTTCCTCTCATCTAAACCAATTAAAAGAAATAACAATAGTTGGCAGTTTAGCTTTTATGCAAGAAAAATAAAAGTGAGTCTGGCATATATTAGCACTAGTCTCTGTCCACCAGGAGCTGGTGGGGCTTTACAGTCTCTGTGAGAAAGAACAGGCATTTCAGCATACGTCTCAACAGCGTATTTCTACACGCCTTTATTGTGCAAAGAAATCTGCTTGGAAGATAACTGGCATCTAGTATAAAATTTTAATTAAAAAAAACCCAAATGCACAATTAAAGAACAAAAGACAAACAGTATTTTTTGTTTTGTATAAAACAATTTAAATTGAGATCCTAGAATTATACCTTTCATCTCTTAAGTAGCAAGATACACTTTTTCATAATTTTAGAAAATTTCAAGTTCAAATGGCCATTGTCCTGAGCTTGCTGTGCAGGATAACATTTTCAAAAGTATCCAGGTTTTTGTTTCTGCCCACATGTATCAATAAATCTGATGAGTTCCAAGTACAGCAAGATATAGTTTTCCCACACAAAAGCTGTACTGGTTTGCCTCTGTCACGTCACGGTTTCTTCAGAAGTCCATTTTCCTACCTGATGGAAGTGGTAAGCCTCTTCCTCCTGCGTGATCTTGATCAATCTCATAAAATCATTATAAGTTAATAAAAGAACAAAGTACCTGGATTTGTAAGCTTCTCTTCCAGCTCAGCCTGAGTTGTTACACTCTCGGACTTTGGGGAATGGATGATGAGAACAACAGACCCAGCGCAGCTCAGCAAACATCCCAGCTTGCCAAGAATGTTCAGTTTTTCTTTCAGTAAGTAAGAAGCTAAAATGGACCTTTCACAAAGAGGAAGAAAACTAAAAGTTTGACTACATCCTGTAAATAATGCTCCAACAGTGATGTCCCCACATGAATTTCCCTCTTAGAGGAAGAGTTTCAAATGTTGGTGGATCCTCAAAATGCATTTCTGACTTATCTTGGGAAAGATTAATCCAGTCTCAGTCTTACCCAATTCTTGATGTTTCATCTTGGGGGGAAAAAAACCAAACCAACAATACCAAAACAACAAAAAACCCAACCACAACACCCCAAAAACCAACACCACATCACCCCCTCCAAAAAAAAAAACAAAAAACAACAAACAAAACCAAACCCCCAAACCAGGTATCTGGCACTCAAGGCAGTTAATAATTGGTGAGCTGTCACGAAGTCCCTACACAGTTACGAGATAAAATGGCCTTTGGTTACAAAGATTGCAGGGCGCAGCTCAGACATGTAGCTGACTGAAATACACAAAATTACATAGCCTAGGATAAAATAATAGGTGGTAAGTAGAGCACCATCAATGGGCTTCAGAGTGTATAAAACTAAAGACAGCCATTAAGCCATCTGCACTCTGAAGCCAGCAGCCAACAGTAGGCAACAGAAAAATCTTGAGGCAATGCATAGCTTTAAAAAAAAAAAAATAATAAAAAAAAATGTACTTTTTCACTGCAGTAGGTTTACAACTGTAGTTCAGCTATTTGCAAAACATTCAGTTGCACATTAAACTCCTTCTAGGAACACTCACTGCCTTTTTTGTTCCCTCCTTTCACATGAACAAAACATTCAAGAAACTGTGGGTATGCATATGCAAAGGACTCCCACTTCAGGAAACAGGACCAAATGCAATTAAATGAAAATCAGCACCAATAAACACATGTGGGCTGTGGATAGCATGGGAGAGAAAGAATGTGAAACAAAAGGAAAGATCTACATAGTAAGCAAACTGTGAATAAGGGAATAGGCAGAAGAGTCCAGAATAACCACACTGAAGAAGAAAAAAAAAAAAAAAAAGAAAGAAAGAAAAGATATGTTTGTCTGTTCCAGATCACAGTGATTGATAGTCAAAGCACAAGATACTCAGGAACACTTTCTTTGCTGTTGACTTCTCTCTGCCTCTCCCTGGCTGGGAAAAACAGGAATAGGTGGCATTGTAATGCATCATTAATACTCGAAAGACTGACATCTTCTGAGTGGACCTCCAGCAATCACTGAGTCTATCTGACATTTTATTAGCAGCATTCAGATAAGAACACAAAAAGCAAACCCTTACCCAAATGGAACGCCAAGAGCTCCCAGGGGCGTCACTAGCACAGTTGGGACTGCAGTGTAGGCCAAGAAATTCCCTATTTGACCCAGAGCCACTGTCAAGAAAACCAGAAATAAACCTTTAAATCCCTTTGTAAAAAGAACTAATGAAAACTTACCCAATACTGTTTGGGAAAGACTGACCTAACTGGAAAACAGATGTTACAAATTTGCTTAGCTCTGTTAATTTTGCACATAAACAAAATGGGTGGAATTTTTCTATATTTTAAAATTATTTTTTAATATAGGATTTATATTTGCTGCACAAAAAGATTCAAGAGGGCACAGTAAATAATCTCATTTGCAGCTTCTCTTAGTTGAATATAAAGTAGACTATGCATTAGAAACAATCACAGATTACACTCAAATATCTCAGTATTACACCCAAATATTCATATAAGGAGGGCTAAAAGTATATATAGCCCATTATTTCAGCTTTAGAATGTGCATATGTGTAACAGTGCATATGTGTAACACCAATGAACTTGGTTATAGTTCATAACAGTATTGTTACCTTTTGGGGGGAAAATAAGGACAGTACTGAGGAAAGGAATCTACCAATGAAATACTAAGCACACACATAATAAGGGCTCTTCAATATACAGTGGATCACATCAAATTTCACAACACTATATAACATCAAAAGTAATTCCTGACCACTGTGAAAAGAACCTTGACAAGCTACAATAACAGCCTCATGATCTTATTTTTGTCTTTCTCCCACTAAAAGCAAATTCCAAAATGTACCACACTATTGCATATTAACAGCTGTGATAAACAGTTTATGCATTCAAGTTTTCAGTTAAAAAAGAAAAGCTGGATGATTTTGCAAGCTCTGGCAAGTTTATAATAGATCAACATGATGCTTGCACAGTTACAGAGTCTGTGGTAACTGGCAAGAACCTTGAGATTGAACACATTACATACAGCTCAAATTTCCACTTGATTTTAAGAGTAATTATTAGCATTTAAAAACATTTCAAGAAACAAAGCTGTCTTTATGGTCAGGCTGGCATTGCCCTCGGCTATCAAATATCATTACCATCATCCTGTTCTTTACATCTGCAAAGCACTGTGCAAACCAAATTAGCTCACATTATCAGTAGAGCTGAAGACCTGTGTAACCTACAGCAAACACGAAGGAAGCAAACAAACTTACAAAACTGCAGAGCGTGGCAAAATTATACTAATTCAATTCACTGAGGCTTTCTCTACGTCCAGGAGCGAGCCAGAGAAGTTAATGAGCAGCATTTCTAGAGCACAAGAGTTAGTGATGGTCTCCTGAATTCTCCCTGCCCCTGGGAAGAGAATAACTCAGCTACCAGCCTCAGGCTTGGTTTTCAGCAGACACAGGTGGCAACTTTGGCACTATCTTCAAGGCATGAAAAAGCACTGAGGCAGAGCTCACATGAAGGACGGGGCACAGCTGGCACACTGTGTTTCTGCAGATTACATACATTTCCAGGTGACTGACAAAAGATTGCTTTTTTTGGAGGTTAACTTTCTAACTCTAACAGATGGCACCAACACCGATCCATAAATTAGGTCTCTAAAGCTTCAGTCCAACTGCACATATTTGTAAGGCAACTGAACTTACTAGAAGTTTTCAGTATCACCATGGAGCAATAGTAACAGTCTCTTACCACCATGAACAACAGACCTGGACTAATTAAGACCAATTAAAAAAAGAATCTCAGTAATTGTTACCATCTCCCTGATGTTGAGGACCTTTGCTGCTAACCTATCTGGTCCTCTCTGAATAGAAATGCCTCTCCAGATATAAGAATGCTGAAGTCAAGACATGGCTTCAGTTCTTGAAGGCACACCAGACTTTAAACTTGCTAAAGGAGTACCAGTATCCCCAAAGCTACCACAGCACAGAACTTGATGCACACTGACATGTTTACATTAGCAAGGAGACCAGGAGTAGATCTGTACAGCAAAAGGTGTCTGCTCTACACACATCAGGGGTCTTATTTCAGACTTCAGCCTGCTCCTACAGACTGAAAGTCTATAGTGTGCATGAGGCACGTTCCGAGACGGCATCTTCCAGCCTTGTTTCATCTTACAGGAGTCCAGCTCGGGAGCTCCAACACTGCTCCACAATGTAAAATAAAGCCCAATCCATGGAGACAAACAGGAGATTCGGTTCATAAGTGCAGTCCCCATCTGCAATAAAACACTAACATAGATGTATCCACTATAAAAACCAGCCACATCTATGCTGCTATCAAAACATGCACTGAAATGAATTAATTAGCCAATTGATTAGTTTAATGCTCATTGAAACACCTGTACACATGCTGCCATACTCTCTTGACTTTTTAAAAAAATCCCTTAGCAGAATCTGTAGCCCTTCATTTGAAGTCTTCAGTAATCCAGTGGATCTCAAGGCCCCAAAATGAGTAGGCAGTGTTATGCCGTGTCAGCATGCCAACACAAAAATGCTTGTTCACCATCTGAACAAATATTGTGAAAACAAGTTGATGGAGTTTATGTGGGTTTTGTTAGTCATCCAAACTTCTAATTCCCTACTTGAGAAAAATGTCAGCTGTTATAATTTTGCCCAGGTAATTGGGGAAATTGCTAATTCCCCAAACATTGCCTTTTTCTGCATCCCATAGGTGCCCACCTAGCCCCATACTATTGTTGTTGGTGACTCTGTTACAACTCTGAATCTATAAGATTCTTAAGCAATTCTTCCCTTGGTTCCTTTGTAAACTTACTGAGGCTTTGTTTTGAAATACCTGCACCTAGCTACTGGACAAAAGCCAACTGATACCATTCCCTTCAGCTATGTTGCCTTCATTCAATTCAGTCAGCTCTTTTAAGCATGAAATTGTTTTCTCTGATTCACCAAGATAAATGCCTGTAATAAAACCTCTCTTATTTTAACTCCTTCTGCTAGGAGATTCAAGACAGGAGCCTCATGAGTGACAAACAACAGTGATTAATGCACAGATTTGCTGCTACTTAGGCAGTAGTGATCCTGGCAGAGGAGGAAGCTGACAAAGAACAACTTAAACTCAGGTTAAATTAGCTGAGGACTTTCCTCTGAAGCTCTGTTGGCTTCTACACTTGCTGTGAACTTTGTCCTTCAAGGGATCTACCAGTTTCCATTCCTTTTGCATAGCTTGCAGACAATAGATACTTGACTTGTTGCCATGAAACGAGGGGCACAACTGGACTCTCATGCTTCTCAGAAACAGCATTAGAACATTTCCAAATAATTTGCAAAAGGCTGGGTTAGAGTCTAAAAGTGGTGTATGATTTTAAGCCTGTAGGTACAACTAGAGCTGAACTGCAAGAGGAGAAAGCTTAGCTGCTCCCCATGCCCTGGATTCACATCAGAGAGTGAACTTAGCCTGAGCAGTTTAAGATACTAAGAGTGAAATTACATTGATCTCGTATCAGCACGACACAAGGCTTCACATTAATCTTGTAGATTAGAAGTAAAACTGAAACTGTATCTGTCAAACTAGAAATCAAAAAGGATTTTTTTTTTTTTTTTTAGGCTGGCTAAGTGCTTTCTGGTCTAAAAAAAAAATAACATACACTCAATGAGCTCTTTTGTGCAGAGTGACAATTTCTTATTCAGCTTTGACTTTTATTAAAAACTGAGCAGACCAGTGCAATCCAGAGACACCAACCATGCAGGAACCCAGAGTCAGAGCAGTGTGTGGCTGCCAAGGGCTGCAAGTACCAAACAGCTCAGAAATCTGGAAAGATGTCTGACTTGGGATTGTCCCAGCAATTTGCCTTCTCAAACATCATCAGATACAGAGAGTTTACTAAAGGTGGGATATTTCTGAGATATGAGAATTTCATGACAAGTGAGTGTGAGATTTGAGATGAGAACCCAGATTTCCTGATGTCTCATTTCACCATCTACCACCTTCTCCCTTCAAATAAAATCAAATTTTTAAAGATACTTACTTGCAATAGTGCCAGACCACCATACTATATCTGTTAAGTACGAAGTACCTGGAAGAGGAAGTATAAGGTGTTAGAAAAATAGGAAATTGCAATATTGGAACTACAAAACAGAATAATTTCAACAGTCCCAACTTTAAGGACCTTCATCTTAACCCTTTTCTTCAAGGCAACTAAGTGGGAGGGAAACAAGAGAGAAGGTGCTTGGATTTGGCCTAAGTGTACAAGTTGGACCTTCTTAAGACAACATATTAGTCAGAAGTTCTGGTTTTCAGTGAAGTACCTGTGCAACGCTAACATGATATTACTTAGAAGAGCATCTGAAATGTCACCAAACGCTTCTGAGGGTGCCATTTAAACATACATATTAGAACCTCTACTAGGAGAACGGGAAACCCACGGAAACAAAACATGATTTGGATCAATTAGTTTGCTAACATAACCTCATGAAGCTGCACTGGAGAAGCTGTAGCAGAGAAATTGTTTTGGCACGCAGTTTTGGCAGTACCATAGCATGGACTGATCCTCCTGCATTTGAGCAGGGGTGAAGCCTCTGAATTCCTCACACACTGCCACGTTTCAGAGAGGAGTAAAAACTCTGGGTTGTCCCTTAGTGTCTCCTAAACTCAAGGATGATTAGTGGCATCATCTGATTACAGGCTCTTGCCTTGGGATGCACCAGGGGAGCATGTGCACCACATTTTATAAGTGCACATAAGTTCTTTATAAGTTCTGCTTCTGTAGAACATCAAGGCAACTGACTCCTTACTAGACCGCCTGGCCTCCACTGAGCATGACCTTGGCATCATGCTATGGTCTTACATTTTGCTCCTCTTTCTAGCAATTCAGCTCTGCATTTATTTGGGAAGATGCTCTCTCAAGAGCTGCTGGAACAACAGGCAATATTGTATCTACCCTGAAATCCCAAATGAAAGAGAAACAGAGTCATCTGTAACTCTGGAGATGTATAAAATATTAAGCGCTTGGAAATCACACTATATAATTGAAATGAGATGGAAAATGACTAATTAAAATGGCCAGCTTTAGAGTGGGTGTAATCGTTTTTCAGACTTTTGTTATTGCATATAAAATAAAAACACTGTTGGGGGCACAAATTACAGAAAATATTGACTCAAGGATGATAACTTTGCAAAATATTTGTCACCCGCTGCTGTTTCTAACTAAGCAAGGATTAGTAATTGCATTGATAGTATATTACTGATGCAAGAGAGAAGAGAGAACAGACTTGAGGTGCCTCATTGTTAATTATACAACATCTACTGAAGGCAATGGAAAAAAAGACATCATCCGACACTGACGATCTCAGGCTCACAGCTCTGACTGCTAGATTCAAGGCAGAACCACGCTGCTTCACAACATTACACAGAAACTGAGGATATTTGCCTGGATGTTTCCACACTGAGCACAGCAATAGGAAATACTACGAATGGCTCGGCAAGATACACAAATAAACATCAGTAATACTCAAACGAGGATGTTTTACTGCTGCCAGTGCGGAGAAGGCAGGCACGCACCCATCACCCGCTGAACCCCCTGCGTGCTCCACTGAAAGCTCTTCAGGAGTAATTAGACCCAACTATACTGCAAAATGGAAACTTCTCCAACTGCCTTAGGATGGAAAGTCATTCCTTTCAGTTGTGTTTTCTGATTGTTTGCCTTACAAAAAAAGATTTGTATTTATGATGCAAATGTGATCTCTCTGTGGACAATAAAAATGGATTACAGCCATCTTGGAGGGAAAGGGAGACTGTGCTTGCAAAAGACTAGTTTGTCTGAGGCCTTTAACCGTAAGGTCATTGCAGAAAAGGCAAAATAAATTTGTTCCATCAGGCTGCCAGCTGCTAGTAACAGTTGCAAGTGTGCTCTGCTCCACTGCATCCACCCTGAACACGCTAAATGCAGCAGGCATTGGAAATTCACTGCTGCTCTAACACCAATCATCTCAAACCCATGTATGTCTGTTTGTACATATATAATTTACATACACACACGTGTACAGAGATAATATTTAGCATGTGCTAAAAAAAAAAAAAAAAATCCTAGAAAGGATTTTTCATAAGAAACAGTTTCCAGAACCTATGGACACATGCTCACAGATACCATCATCTGCAAAACAAATGGCTATTGACCACAGAAATACAATTAAAAGGTCTCATGCAACCTGTGTTTAGAACTTTCCCCTCACATAAAAGCATGATATTAAGAACAAATAGATATATTGCATCTTCCTATATTCAAAGCATCAAGATGCAACTAGCAAAATGCTATTCAGAGGCTGTATGCTTTGGGGAGTTCTAATTTCAGAATAAAATACAGAAAAACTTCATACCCGGTGAATTTACAGCTTTGTTTTGGCTAAACTATCTAGATAACGCAGTCAGTTCCCAAATACATTCTTTGCAGAAAACAATAATGAGGTATGGGATTTCAATATAAAAAAAAAAATTAAAACCTAGTGATTCCATGTATTGGTGTGCCTTTATTCTACAAAACAAAACCTCTGCGTGACTGCTGTAACTGGTGGTCTGTGCCCATGAAAGAGCCAGAATAAACAAGAGACAAGATGTGCTGGTGCTGTTCATGGCATGAAACTTGCAGAGCCAAAGAAGTGGGTAGAAAAGTCCCACAAGTCCATGAAAATACCACGGGAGGAACCCACGTAGGCAGGCAGACACGAACACGCGAGTGCCCAGCGCTGTGTGACAGAGCCCCAGGCCGCACACCGGGATGCTGTTGCTGATGGACACGTTAACACATCCCCGTCGCTCTCCACCTGCCGCCCCCTCGGTCATTTGTCACACCCCTGACGCCGCGCTCCAGCCACCCACCTCTGATGTCAAACACGCTTAAGGCGACAAACTAAGGCCGGCTGCCCCGCTCCAGCCGCCGGGAAGGTGTCCCCCGGCTGCAGGCGACACCGTGACCCCCGCCTCCTCCGCCCCAAAGGCGGAGGGTCTGCCAAGCCCCGGGGGTGCTTGTCCTCCGCGACCCCCGGGCTGCGCTGGGCCCCGCGGCAACCCCCGCCCCCTCCATCC